GATCTAGCAAATTTAATATAGACGTGGAAAAAAATGATCACAATTTCTTTACCATTAATGTGCAAAATGACAAACTGATGTGTGTATTAAAACATTAATATGTAATACATCTGTCCTCAACGTAGTTTTCTTCTGTCACTGATGCACAAACTCTTGATCCTCCAGCTACCGGTGGAATATTGAACCGTGTTTGGAGGGGAGCACGGGCCTTTATATCGAGGTTTCTCTACAAAAAATCAAAACAAACATACAAATAAATAAAAATACAAACAGTAGCAAAAACAAAACTGCTGCTATTTAAAAGCTTCTTACAAGGATTGACCTGGTGAAATAAAATAAAGTCATAAATAAAATAAAACATATGTAATGTTAAACACCTTGTGTTTTTGTGCCACGGTCCTTTTTACGCCTGAGCATTGCAGCCATAGGATCGCCTTCTCTTTCCTGTTCTCTCAACATGCGGTCAAGATCCTCATCGTCACGGTGACGTGCCAGTGGCTTCTGGGCTTCGTGCAGCGCGTCCTCAAGTTTCTGCTGATGCATCTGGCTCTGTGCCAACCTATACATACATTTTAACATAAACCATTGAACCACTTTTATAATTTTTTATGTGGATATAATCACATAAACTGTGATATTTGAAATGATCATGCACATTTACCCTTTTCCCCACTGAGCGTATTTCTCGTCTCTTGCCGCTTTTTCACCAGCTTTCTTTTTCTGTTCATCTCTCTCTGAATCCAGATCCCTCCTTTTGCCACTTTTGTCTCTGAAAATCGTCTGAGCGTTACGCGATTCATCTGGTCAAAGGGGATGAATGGGTAAGTATGTAGAAACTTCATTATTTAATTTTAGGACTAAATAAAATACGACAATATAGATGATAAGCTGAAATGAGATGCAAAGCTGTATGAAGCTCTTCCATCAATGCGTGTAAAAATATCTTAAGAGAGAAAAGTTGATGAAACCTTCAAGTGGCTGATTGTGTTTTTCTCTGCGTCTGTTCTCCTCTTTCTCTTTCCTTAAAATGTCCACAGAAACCAGGCCTGCCTTTCCACCAGATAGCATCCTTTGGCCCTGGTTATAAAATAAAAAAAAGACAATGAAAAATATAATAACATTTGAGTGAAATCAGATTTGACATTAATCTTTGTTCCAACACAGTCTGCTTACCTGTGACTGGCCTGGCCTACGAGGTGGTGACAAAT